TCCTAGCAGAACGGAGTTTCCTGAAGACTCTGGGCGGAGGCTGCTCTGCCCCAGTGGCGGTTTGGAGTATCCTAAAGGGTGAACCCTTGAATGGAAACAGCCAGGAAGTGGGACTGTCCCTCACCGGAGCAGTTTGGAGTCTGGATGGCGCCATCGAGATACGGAATAACCTGGCTTGTGCCTTGAATGAGCAGAAGTCGGAGGTGGAGCAGCGGAAACGAGGAGCCCAGGAGAGCGCCAGCCAGCTGCAGGAGGAAAACAGCAGCAGCTGCGATTCCCCGCCAGCTACCAAGCGCGCCAGGAATGGCAACGACAGCTCCTCTGGCTCGGATTCGAACTCAAGCAGTCCGCGCCAGCAGGGCAGCCCTCCGGTGATCTGTGAGGATGTAGCCGCCTGCGAGGCTCTCTCTGGTTACACCGTGGATCAGCTCTCTGAATTGGCTAGCCAGTGTCCAGTGCTGGGCAACAGCACTGCTGTAGGAACTGCCGGGATCGGCGGAGGAGATGCGGATACCAGCAATGCCAATACAACTCCCCGGCAGTGCCCGCTGCGCTTGGTGGCCGGCCAGGAAGTGATGGGCCAGTGTCCAGTGACGCACAATCAGACCAAGGCACCCGCCAAGTGCCCAGTGGCTCACGCTGACTCCGGCGATTCCTGCAACGCAAACAACGGTAACGGTAATGAAAATGAAGCTGCAACCACGGCACACTGTCCGCTGCAGATGCCCGTGGGTCAGGACTTTATGGGAGAGTGTCCGTATGTTAACAAGGAGACCAAGGTAACCTATGCCCAGGCGGGCAAGTGTCCAGTGACGGGAGGAGTGGCCGGAGCACCTGCATCCATTCTGTCCACGCCACCGAGCAGCAGAGCCAGTAATGCCAGTAGCGTTGGCGATGAGGTGGACAATGTGGCCACCTCCTCCAAGTGCCCATTCGCCTCGATGCATCAGGGCAGCGGTCTAGAGGCGCCGGCGGCCAAGGGCAACGGAAATGCAACCCTAGCCAAGTGCCCGTTCCTGCAGAAAACGGTCCAAATGTTCGACTACGCCGACGAGGAGCAGCCAACGCCGCAGCAATCGGTACTCATTGAGGATGTGGAGAACCTGTTCTGCGGCCTCTTCCAGCACGCCTGTCACAGTCGGGGGATCTACGAGAAGGCCAACCAGTTGGGCAAGACGTTGGCGGAGGACCTTATCAAGCGGGGAGCCCTCGAGGTGATGAAGGTGGCCCAGGCGGAGATTCACGGCAAAGTGGCTACGTCCTGAGTGCTCGGGTAGCATCCTGGGTCCAACTACTCCCACCTCCCATCACCCCTCATCACTATCATCGTTTACATTAAGTAGAAAAGTGTAACTAGACAATACTGTTTTCATTTCACCCTCGTTGTTGAACTCCTGTGGAGAATCCATGCTTCCCCAGATTTAACATCTGTATTGTATTCAATCCTTGTGCTCTCCTAGGCGAATGGCTCTCGCATATTGTTGGTTTCGCGTACACGCAATTTTATTTTTGTTTTTGTTGGGGGAATATGACAAATAAATGTATAAGAACACTTTAAATGGTTCGTTTCTTTATTCTGCGGTTAAAACACGTTTTGTATGTGCCGTAGTCATTGGACATTTTTATTAACAGTACAAAATATTTTTTTACAATGTATTTAATTTATACATACTCTTGTTAAGTACGTAAAAATGTATATTTTCCATTTCTGGCTTTTTAAGTATAAATTTTGGCTTGAGCTCGTGTCGCTTGTCTTTAGCATTTTTCAAATAGGACTCTCAAAGTTATTCAATAGTCAAAAATTTATAGAGGTGTAACCAAGTTATACATTGCATATAAGTTTTTGTTGACTTCATTCGGAACACCCAAATATCAAGTATAAAATCTTACGAACAAAAACAAATAAATGTACTTCATGATACATTAGCTAATCAATATCCTAACGTAAGACTAAAATGGTCAAGGTGGAAATGAAAACAAAAACGCCTAGGCGCAGTGGTGGCGCTTGCGCAGGTGAGAGCTCAGGTAGTTGGCTTCCATGAAGACCTTCATGCACTTGTCCACGCCGCAGGGCAATCCGTTTTCGGTTAAACAATCCGAAAAGTGGCTCACATAGTTTAGCTGTTTAGTGAAGACATCCTTGCACTTTGGACACTTCAACTGGGAGATGTGCTTCTTTTGAATGTGCGAGTCTAGACGTTGGCGCGAGCCGACAGACTTGCCGCACTGGTCGCAGCTAAGTACGGACTCGTCGGTAGTGGAGTCGCCAACGGACTCCAGCCGGGCCTTTTTGTGCGGCTTCACATTGTGGTTTATTTCTTCCAGCTGAGACACATCGGAAATGGAGGATGCGTCGTTGGATTTGTCTTGCTTTTTGCGCTTGGCGGGAGAATCGCCGTTCGTGGTGACCCCAGAAACGTCTAGGGAGCTTGTTTTGCCTTTCTTTGCTTTCTTAACGGGCGAGAGCGGAGCGGACATGAGTCCACCAACCTTAGACTGATCGACTTTTAAGGAGTTATTCCTACTAGACTTTTCTCTTATAATCTTCTCCTCCCTAGGTCCCTCGTCATCCTCGATAGTGTTGTTCTTCTGAAAACTACCCTCAATATCAACGTCCGCATCCTCTTCCTGCAGTATCTTTCGCTTGCTGGACTTGCCCACCTCGGCACTATCGCTATGAAGAGCCTGGTGCGTTTTTAGCGATTGTTTGGTGGTCAGACTCTTTTCGCAGATGTGACACTTGAACACCTTCGGTTTGTCAATGGCGTGGGCAGTCTTCATATGGTCCTGCATCTGCTTGGCGGTTGTCAGCTCGCAGTCGCATATGTCGCACTGGAAATTGGTGGTCTCGGCCCTGGGAGTGGATGCACTGGATCCGTTGATGGCAAATGTGTACTCGGAGTCGAGCACGTTCTCCAGCATCCTTTTCCTCATTAGGGATTCGTTTAGGGCTTTGAAGGAGGCGACTTTGGGCCCCGGGGTCTCAAGTGCTTTCTCTTGGCTGAGCACTGTTTTCTCTTCCGACTCTACTGATATGTCCTTGGACTTAAGGAGGGCGACTTTGGGATCCTGGGTGTCATCTAACTTCTCCTGGCTTACTACTTTTTCCTTTTCTGAGTCCACCTCTGTTGGCTTCTTCTTGGACTTGCTCTCCTTTGCCGCTTCTGACTTTTTGGCCTTCGGCTTCACTTCCTTTGGCTTTTGTTTCTGCGTCTGAGTCTCAGGCACCTTCGGATTCTTAGTCTGCGCTTTTGGCTCCTTTGGCTTTGGATCGGCTTCCGACTCCTTCGACTTTCCCTTGCTATCCTTTGCTTTGGACTTGGCCTCGGACTCGCTTATTAAAATCCGGGAATGGACGTCCCGCACATGATCCTTTATGGTCTTTAACACTCCGAAGGTCTTGGTACACATGGGGCAGTTGTATATGCGGGCACGTTGTTGGCCGTGCTCTTTCAGCATGTGTTCCTTCATGTGATTGGGGAACCTTGTGTGAAACTCGCACTCAGCGCACTGGAAGTTGTTAGTATTGATCGTGAGGTAGCCAGCTTCGGCATCCTCCTCTTCTTCGCTCTCGGTCTCAAATTCCTTTTCCATGGCATCATCGCCGTTGCCAAAGAGATTTAGGAAAGCCTTTTTGGAGGACGACACATCTTTGGCAGGCGTCAGTTTCACAGAATCGTCGAGACTGTCTCCGAGCAAGCGGGACAGCTGCCTTTTGGCGGGCGAAGCCTTGATGTTTGCTACCCCAGCGATGTCTGGAACCATGTGGCTGGCGGGAAAGGCAACCGATTTGCTGCGCTGGCGAATGGTGGTGTTCTTCTTTGGCTGCGGCTTGGCCGGCGTCTTCTCCGTCTCTGCAGTAAGGTCCACAACGTCAGGTGCCGGTTCATCAGCGGACCCTTGATCCTGTGCCGCCGCCTTGCTGACCTTGCCCTTCTTGGCGGGCGCGGCCAGGATCCTGTCTACCGTTTCACGGACCTTGTCGATCAGGGCGCGGGTGGACATGAAGCCCGAAGCACAGATGAAGCATATCTTGACGTTTACGTTGGGTGGGATCTGAAAGGGGTGATGGGGATTGACCGGGGTCAGATTTGGAGATACGAATGCCGCGCTTTAACTCACGCTCTTGTGGGTGATGGCCTCCAGCAAGTCCACGACTTTCGTCCCCACGAACGCCTTTTGCGCGGTACAAATCATCTTCGCCTCATAGCCTTCGTGGCAATGGTCGCACAGCACCTCCTTCTTAGCTTTGCTGGCCATGTTTTCACTTAGTTTTTCAATAAAAACAAATCCGAAAAGCAGACAAGTCAACGAAAACGAAACGTGCGCACGTTTTTTTTATAGCTACTTTCAGGGCTGCAATGTGACAGCAGTTATCGGTCTGTTATCAGCGTCGAATACCAAAAATACTAATTGGTAAAAAATACTAACGATTGAAGGGCGGAATATGTTGTTGAAAAATTCAACAGAAAACGTGAGCAATGTAGGGAACACTGAGTTTTCAAACAGTTGTCTAATTTTTTTGGAACAAAAACAAGTACTTTTTTATTTTGCTTTATTTACTATCTAAAATTTGTTATAATTAATACTCATCAGCTTAGGGAATACCCTAACTATAGGAATATGTGGGTGATTTAATAATCTGTTAAATAATTATCGCAGTATAACTGGTTTTCAAAACATGGTCATACTAAACATAACATTCTGCTAGCGACTTGCCGCTGTTACATAACAGCTGGGCACTTCAATAAATTCATCGATAAAAGAGCGTTACACTTCGAAAATGGTCAGTAATTTGAAAAACATTTATTTTGGCATTAGAAGCTACAGTAATGCGAAATGATATGTTAGATTTGTTTCTTTGTGTTGGTGCTGGACTGGATGGGCTGTGCTGTTACTTTGTCTTGGACTTTTTGTGTCGATTTTCGCGTCTGAAAACAGAGAGATGAAAACATGTTATGAATGACAGTAAGGAATACGCCAAGTTAAAGCGGTTCGCATTTTCGTGTCTTAAATGATTAGCTTTATTTGAATACTTTCTCTCACTTCTCTTTTCTTTCTCATAGGCATTATATATAGTACTTGTGTTGGTTTGTGTTGTGTGGTGTTCGATTCGTTTCCGTGTGTGGATGGTGTACTTAGCCGACGTTCAGTTAACTAGGCATTACTATAGGTATTGTTCATGTTGTTACTTGTTACTGTTAAATATAATTAATATAAATATGTATTTTCGTTTATTAGTTATCCTCCTTGGCTCATCCGATTTCGTATCTCTTCGTGGGTGGTTACTTGAATTTTCGTTAAATTGTGGGTTACACATATAAAAAATAATTCTTGTCGTACTTTTTGCGTCCTCTCACGCTACACGTTTATATAAATATGTTTCTTGGGATCGGGGTTACACACTTACTCTACTGGAAAAACCATTGAATAGTTTTCCGCCTTTTCTCCCTTCGTTTGTTGAATACAAGTGATTTTGCCCTGGCAAAACCAGCATTACAATTAAATCATACACCTATACTTCGCTTAGCGACGCAGTAAAATATTCGTTAATTTAATTTAGTATGCAACTAGCCGAGTCCAAGGTTACAATTTGGAATAAAATCACTTTTTTGATTTCAGATGGTTCGATTCATGTACGAAATGAAACTAATTTTGATTATAAAACTCTAAAGAGCAAGCGGTAAACGAGATATAGGTGTACTTTGTGCTATTTTTGCTTTTTAATATTATTGCTTTAATGGCGTCGCATTTTAAGATTTTTTCAATATAGTGCTCTTTAAAGACGAATATTTCTAAACACAACAATTCAAAGTTAGTACGGGGCGGGTTGGCAAAGTAAAATTAAAAGTCATGAAGGGCTTTGCTTTTATACAATTCTCCGTTTCGATTCGTTTCTTTTTGGCACATTGCTGCACTTTATATTTTGCCATGTACTACAACAAGTGTTTGTTTCTCATAAATCTTCATAAATAAATATACATAGGTCGTATGCTATAAGAAATTGCTGTACAACAACAAGTGAAGCGTGTGGGTGGATGTCGGGGTGCTTGAATCGTTGATCGTAGTTATAAAAGGTATAATAATCAATTTTATTGCATAGCGAGCGATTAGAAGGGGGAGCTTAGCGATTTGGTGTGGTTCGTTTCGGGGGATTCTGGTCTGTTATGAATCCATTTTTAGAGTGTAGAAAATAAATTTGTTCTAAAATGTCAGTCTATTGCGCAAAATCTACATTTGACGTGATTTCTACCCGATTCTCGTTTAGTTTAGTTGCGTGTTTTGTTTTGTTTTCCTCTTTTTCGTATATATATAAAAAATTCCCTAATATTTATGCATCGTGTATCGTTCGTTCAGCTCAATCCGGCATCCGCAATCCGTGGGTTGCGATTGCGATGCGACTCCATCCGATCTCTGATCCTATCCGATCCGATCCGCTGCCGATCCGTCCCTTGTCGTCCTCGATTTGTGGCCACAAATCATGCCAGGTCAGGCCAGGCGGACGAGCGCTGGTGGGGATCGGTGGTAGGGATCGGCGGAAATCGGTCATCAGGGGGAGGAATCGGTGATCAGTGTCCTACGGCAACTAAATACGTCATACAGCTATCGCTACTGGTCTACGACTACTTAGTGGCTAATGGGGGCACTTATCCTAGCTTCGTGTATGCGTAGGCGCAGATCACGCCCACCACAACACCAGCGGCAATATATGTGAGTAATGACCTTCGTTTCTTTGCCGCCAGCTGGCTGTCCTCGTTCTCCCGCTGCTTCCGCTTGATGTCGTTGACCTTCTGCTCCAGACTGGCCTGGTACTCGTTGCGTTTCCGCCGCTTCAGCTCGTTCTCGGGACTGCAAAGGATAGGAGGTGATTAGAAAGTTTGTTCATATCTCATATCTCATATTATGGTGTTTCTGCTGAGAAGCATTTGGTTTCCCATAAAAGCCACCTATTCTATATTACGACTGGGTTTTTACCTGGCTGGGAGCTGGCCAGGAATTGGATCGATGCCGTTGGCCTTGTGCTGCTCATCGGCTGGCGCCGATGGCTTCTCACTGTTGGCATTCACATCGTCGTCATGCGGCTGTGTCGTCGTCAGAGGTACATGGCCATTAACTGGTTCGGCGTCGTGCTCGTTAATGGTCTCGTACTCCTCGTCCTCGTCTGTATCGTCCTCCTCGTCGTCGTCTAGCAAGTAATCCTCATCGCTGTCCGATTCGTTCAAAGCTCTCGTGGGAATCGGCGGCAAGGGACGTCTGTCGGCCACCTCGGAGTAGGGCAGCATGTCGTGCTGATTGATGAAGTTGTTGAGGGCATCCTTGCTCAGCTTGTCGCCAGCATTGTCTGCAGCTCCATTGGCCTGGGCGGCGCGCATATTGAGCGATAGTATGCCACCGGAGTTGGGGGCCAGCGGCAGGTTAAGCGATTGAACGCGAGGCGGCAGCGGCGGCGGCTGTTCATCCAGTGTGTGGGTGTCTGTGTCGTTTGCGATGATGGGTTCCTCAGCGTCGAGAAAGGTCTGAAGAGGTACAAAGGCCACAATTAGTTTTGTATAATATTCAGGGCTGTCACAGAAATCTCTACCAACCGAAGATCAACGCAATCTCCTTCGCATCAATGAAATTGAAAATTAATTTAGTTTAGTATCAATCTTGAATATTTTTAAACCAACACACTGAACGGGTGAAAATTGAAAACGAAAACCAAACATGTATCATAACAAATCATATAGTTGTGGTTAATTAAATTCCACTGAAAACCATACAAAATTGAAAACAATAAACAACTAATAAAATCTCCAGAGACTCTGTGACGCACACAAAGTATGTGAACAATTTCCCCACTCAGTGATGTCACAGTCTCTAGAGATTTCTGTGACACCCCCAGGACAGGCGAGATCTCCAAGGTGAACGGCGGCACCTGGCAGCCCCTGAGGAACCGGCTCCCAGACGCCGGCCGCTCGTCGCGCATACATACGGGATCGTGCAGCTTCGTGATGCCCTCGATGATCGCCTGGTAGGAGAAGTCCAGCTGGTCGGCCGTTTGGATCAGGCCCATGCGGTAGCTGCGCAGCTCGCAGAGCACCTTGGACACATTGCACTCGCCGTACTTGTCGATCAGGACCAGGCAGCAGTCCACCAGGCAGAAGGTGCCCGAGCGCCCGATGCCGGCGCTGCAGTGCACCACGGCGGGACCCACGTCGCGGCTGAGGCAGTCGGAGTCGCGCACCTGCTGCAAGAACTTGAGGAATGCGTTCGGCGAGCTGGGAATGCCGAAGTCCGGCCATGTCGTGTAGTGGAACTGCATCACCTCGCGACTCTGCTGTGTTTCGAGATCGGTTAGTCTGTAAACATAATGCATTGCAGTTAATGGATACAGTACTTTGGAATAGGCTTAAGTGATGATGATGATGACTTACTTGAACCACCGCCGCACAAAGTTCTGGTAGGTCTCGCAGCGGATGAGCTCCACGGTGAGCTTGACATTTGGAAGCTTAAGGGCCTTGTCGGCTCCCATCTCGTTGGGCCAGTAGAGGTGGCATTTGATCTGCTTCTTCTCCATCAGCTTGTTGAGCATGAGGATCCCCCGGGACTTCTGCTCCCAGACCATCAGCCAGAAGTGGCCCACTGTGTCCACCAGCGGTCCCTGGGTCAGGATGTACTGACGCTCGGCGCGCTCCAGCTAAAGAGTGTAAATGGAGTGTTAAACCGGGTGAAACAATATGCATTAAAACGTGACCCACCTGAACCAGGTTGGCATTGATGTAGTCCACGCTGCCGCGCTTCAGAACAATGCGGGAATGGTCGTACGGGTTCACATCCCGATAGCGATTCAGGCCGCGGTTCGCGTGACGCTCCGATTCCAATGTGGTGAATAGCTTCTCCTTCGCCTCCCTGTCGCAGCACTCGCAAATTTCCTGGAATTTCACAAAAAGTGATTAGTCTAATCGAAATTACCCATAAACTGAAGTCAACGTTCGGCGGTTTAAATTTTTAAGTTATCAGTCACTTTACTTGCAGTTAATTAGGGGTTTTGACTTGTGTGCTTTTCAACTATGCGATCTAATTTAAAAAAAAATGACTATCATTGTCAAGTTTTAAAATACAATGCCTCATTGGAATACGGAAAATATGTCATTTTCCTAGAAATGAGTTTATTGGACAATAAAATTTTTTGTACATACTTAAGTATGTAGCTAGTTAAACGATTAAAGAGAACTCAGTTTGGGGGGTATTTTTGTGGTAATCGATCACTGAAGCAGTCTTAAGTAAGGTAAGTCCAAGTTATTTTAATATGTGTACCGAAAATGATTCAATGCCTTCTTAAGAAAGCAAACAATAAATAGTAGTAGACACGTTTCCTATTGTTGTATCTTTTTAAAGTCCCTAAGAAAGTAAACAAATAGAAAAAATATGACTTAACCCCTTAAAACGAGTAAAAACATTCCAGAAAGTACTTAAAAATGTAAACAACTGTTTTAGATGAAAATTGAAACTCATGGGGCTCCCAGAAATATTAAAAATTACATATTCAAGGCTGATAAATAGAAATGAAACATAGTTGTCTGACTGAATTTCCTTGTAAATTAATTGTAAGTGAAATATTTGCTTATGCTGGAAATCCCATTGATAAGTCCTGGGTATATTCCGCTCTTGGCTTTTGCAAAACACTGACGTTTAGCAATTTGCACCCATAAATCGAATGGGGTTGCCCCATTGGGCCGTGATTCACCACCTGGCCCACTCTCAGGGGCTTCTCTGGGTGGCCAAACCCTCCTTCTGCTGCGCAGATAGATGTGGGAACCTGGCCTGGGAGGGACTGGGAACTGGAACCGAAGCCCACCCAGCCAACAAACCGGGCGTGACTAATTAGCCAGGCTGTTGTTAATGGCATTATCTTGGGCATGACCGGTGCTGGTGCCGGTGCTTTATCAGCCGAATGTATGTACATAGAATTGCTGGCACAGCTGTAAAGTGCCATGGACAATCGAACCATCGGATCCATCGGCAAACCAACACCAAACACCGAACAAGGTCAATGGCGCCAACCTGGCGGTGACAGGTGCTCCGTTCCTCAAAACGCGGCTCAAAGTCAGCGGATAACCTAATCACATGCATGCGAGTCCGATGATGAGTAACCATACATGATTTTACACACATACTTTGTTTCTCCTGCAGCTCGAAAGTCAGTTGTTAATTGCCAGTTCGTCATGTTTCAAAAGTGAATCAGCTGCGGACTTGCCGTGCTGTTATGAAATCACTTTGGTAAGCCAAGCTCTTACGTAATCTCCAAATCTGAGGAGGGCAATGTCCGATAAGGGGAGTTCTTAGAGAAATATCACCCACTGACTTTCTACGCAACGCATCGCTATCGGCATTATTGATAATTCTTTTGAAACGGAAAGTAAACTGGGTTTGCATTTAATATTCCCGGAATTCATCAAATCATGGTATTTTCTACTATCAATTGTTTGACGTCTGATAATCAACAGGTCACGTGAGTATAAGCGCAGATAATTGAGGTATTTTATTCCAATATTTGCTAATGATAAAGACTTTAGTCTACTTCCCAGAATTCATTTTGGCCATCTGTTGCGCTAGGGTAATTTATATGATACCAACTGGACCTGTTATTATTTAAATTGGGAACTAACTTTGATATTTGGTTCTAAGCATCTTGTGTGTCTGTAAAATCCCACTGCTATACCAATATCTACACAATTCCTTCAGAAAGAGAAAACAGTTCTTCGGCTCCATTGAACATTAAGTCTTGGGCCGTTTACCGCAGCTACAAACTGTTTTTTATGCTCTGTGGATATCCAGGTGACTCTTCTAGGCAGAATGGCGAAATCTCGGGGTCTTGAATTTCCAAAGCGTGTCGTGCCAACAGTTTAATTATTATTATTTTTTTCTGTTTTGCATTGCAGGGCTTGAAGAAAAGCGAGAAACAGTAACAAAAACATTGCATGCATACATGAGAGCATAATTGCAGCGAGAAAGGAAGTTGACTTTGGCAGGCCGGATTGTATATACCCTTCTATACGATCTATAGGAACTAATAATAAGAACCGATTGTTATGGGCAAAGTCTCGAATCTTCATAGATTATATTAGATTATTTCCTTTTTTATCCATCATCAGTTAAAACTAACTTCTGGTCAAGATTGTATTACCCTTTGGGAGCGTATAACACATAAGAAGCTTCGTCACAGTCTACGGAGGTTGTCATAATGGAGCGCAATGGGATGGGTCGGATGATGGAAAGGATGGATCGAGAAGGCGCTAGGTGTAAGCTGATAAGAGGGAGGAGAAGACCCAGTAACTGGAGTGCGTTCAATGGAAATCATTATACATGAAGTGCGCAAAAAGCGTAACAAAACAATGCGATCCGAATGCGTCATTGCGTTTTTGGCATACAGTCCGACCACCCTATGTTTATCTATCACATAGCAAATCTTAAATACGCAATAGTTGACCTATCTTCGGGTAAGTTAGAATTTTGATATGTATATTGAAAGGCTGAAAATTAAAACAGGCATTGTTATCTTAAAATCCTACATTCAAGGCAAAGCAAGAAAACCCTCCTAAGATTAATGTTAGACCTTTAAAAACCTTTCATCTAATCTCAATTGACCTTAAACCTTAAAATCTGGTTTAAACTGAAATAGGTATTCCGAATGGAATTTCCGAATACTAACGGAAGAGAAATTCAAAGTTCAACTTGTGGAATTAATGAATGGAATGCTTTGAATTTTAAAATTCTACTTAATTGTATTATAGCGCATCTTTCAATTGAAAATGTGGTTCGACTTAAGTCGTTAAAAACTTAAGAGAAATGTGCATTTGTATACTCAAGGTTCTACTTATGGAAATCGTCGTTAGCCAGGCTGGACTGTATTTCAACTGAAATGGCTTCCAGCAATTTTTCCATCCAGTTGCGACGCACAATTGCGAGCAGACTCCTTTTTTCAGTTAGCTGGAAAATTAGATTATCCTCGGCGTGGGCACAAAGGATGCTGATGATGATGATGATGATGATGGACGAGGATGCCCGAGGAGAGGGTCCAGAAACGGGTATGTGTACGTGTGTATGGATGGTGTATACTGTGTCATCCTAACTGCGGAGTGGAATTCCGTGAAATCCCAATTCAAGTGAGTGGAAGCACTGGAAGAGGAACGAGGAGCAGGAGGAGGAGGAGCAGCTGAAGACACAGTTCGCCGGAACTGGCTATAAAGCAGAAAGAGAGGAGCAGCAGGAGGAGGAGGGGGCAAGAAGAGGATTCCGATTCCAATTCCGACAGGCAGCAGAAGAAGAAGCAGCAGCCCAAAGCGAGACTCAAAAAACCAGACGCATGCCCTTTGTGCCCCTGTGTGCGTGAGCCTCTCTCTTCTAGTCCAAGTGTATGTTAGTGTGTGCGGGGAGTTCTTAAGAGGAGAGCACACTGTCACCCCTCCACGATTGTATTGGGTTTTTGGGGGGCACATCCAGCAACAATCACAACACACAACAACAAACGCAACGCTCTTCCCAGAAATCGCCTCCAATTTGATTTGGCCAAACGGGAATGGCATGGAATTCGCGGAATAGCTCAACGCTCTATTGATAGTCAAAGGAAATCGTTTTTGGGGAAAGGTATAGCTGCTATATAGAGATATAAGGCAAGCATAAATATGCCAAATACACACACAGGAGCACACATGTACCGAAGAGAATGCAAAGTAAAGTGCAGCAGGTGAGCAGCCGTGTGCATGTGTATGGGTGAGAATCTGTTTGTACATTCTTTTTCGCTGCCTTTTGTTTTTGTTTTTGGCCCAAACCAAAGCCTGGCTGTTAAAGCAACAACAACATTGACACCGACACACACGCACGCACACAATGAAAGCTTGCTGTGGTATTGGTGGCATCTGCAGAAGCCTTTTGCGCACTCATCACATTTTCGTGGAAATCGAACCGCCAAAGGAGCTCTGCGAAAGGTGTGTGCCTCTCATCCAACAACGATCCCTTGCGAATCCCACATATTTATCCACTTTTCCCCCAGTTTTCTGTGCAGTTGGAAGGTTGCAATCGCAGTTGTTGTTGCCAATCCAATCCAATTTCCATTTCCATTTACCTTGTAGAAGCGATGCCATCCCGCCCGTTTTTCCTTGTACTCCGCCTCGATTTGCTGTCGCGCCGCGGACGCTGGCCCACTCCTACTCGTTTTCTGCTCGCTCATTGTGCACACTTTGCTGCGGTTTTGTTGCGATTTAATAACTTTTAATTTTTATCAGGCGGCTGGTTAATTTTCTGGAGACTATCTAGAGTGACCAGGTGGCGGGAGAGCACTGGCCCCCACTTGTCAGATCTAACGCGTTATGGGCTGTACAAAAAATACCGTGTTCTCACTGAACGCAAAAATAAATTTATGGAAAACAGTTTATGGAATACCCCAGCTGTAATTTGACAGCCGATGATTTGAAAAAAATCGATATCAACAAAAACATCGAAAAATGTAGCCTTCCCTAATTTTAAATATCACATCACTAGCCCGGCTCTGCAACGTACAAAACCTTCTCATTTCAAAAATCTGATTTTCGGAACCGCATCGTTTTTCCCTGACACATTAATAAAATCCCTTATAAAATATGGCTGATATTGAGGAAGTTAATTTGGACAGGGGTCGGTTCAAGGTTGTAACAAAAAACACCAGCAAGAAGCGACTTATTGTTGTTTTGGAAGGTGCCCAATTGGAAGTGGTTAAGGTATTTATAATTTTTTTAAATATAACAAGGGAATACAAATCTTATATTTACATAAAACGTCCGAAGGTCAACGACAAGTTTGAGCTGCTGAATTGCGATGACCATGTGGATATTTTGCGCCAAAGCCAAAGGGATCCCGCCACAGTTCGTCCGGATATCACCCTCCAGACCCTGACTATGCTCTACGACTCTCCCTTGCATAGAGCTGGTTATCTCCAGGTTTTTGTACACACGGAGAAGAATGTCCTCATCGAAGTCAATCAAGAAACCCTTATACCCAGAACCTTCAAGGGCTTTGCGCCATTAATAGTGAAATTGCTGAACGAGGGCGAGGTTCGATCCAAGGAGGACCCCTCCCTGAAACTGTTGAGTGTGATCAAGAATCCCATCTCCGATCACCTTCCTGTGGGATGCAAGCGGTACGCCTTGAGCGCCGCTGGTAAACCACTAAAGAATCTGCGAGATCTAGTGCCAAAGGAAGAGGAACCAGTGGTCATCGTCATGGGAACCTATGCCTTTGGAAATCTGACGACTGACTTGACAGAGGAGTTCTTCTCCGTGAGCAGCTATCCTCTGGCGGCGAATGACGTGTGCTCCAGACTCGCCACCGCCTTCGCGGATGCGTGGGGTGTGTTCTAGGCCATTTAAATATGCATTTTTTATTGTTTTATATCTTAACAATTGGTATTTTGGAATATATATGACAATTTTTAGAATAAAATATTAAAATTCCTTGATTTAATTGAACTCGCTTTTTACATAAAAACATTAATTTACTTCTCGTTCTTATTGTAATCTTCACAAAATATAATGCCTGGATGTAAAACTTTTCCGCAATCGGAGCAAACGAACAAAATAACATAAAATCAAAGGTGTAATGACTAGTTTTCACATGTGATATGTACAAGTTATAAATACCCACCTTGACCACCTCCAGTTCGACACCTGCAAAATAACTATGACCCGTTTTTTAAAACCCTTCACACTGGGCCAGCCGATTCAATCAAAAATTGTCCAAGTTGGCAAAAAAATTTATTCTGACAAAAAAAATTTAAAATTTTAAAAGTATGTTTTGACAAAAATTTAAAATATTTACAAAACGCAAAATTTGTGTTCTTAATTTCGAGAAAACGTGAAAGAAATACCGGGCGACAAAATTAACTCTTTGGACTGTGCCCTCCCCAAAATAAATTCCGCAATAACAGCTATTTGTTTGATGGAATTTATTAAGAAAATATATATGTTAGAGGAATAGGTCGCGCGTGTGCTAGGATCGTATTTTTGGAAAGCATAGCATTGATAAGTTTAAAATTAGTTATGGCTACGTTTCTTTGTCGATGCCCGCAAAACGTCGGCTTTTTAAAACTGTTATACCTCTTGTATTTGCATAACATTTAGTACAGGTTTCGAATTTAACTGACCATAGAATTATTGGGTTTCGGAAGAAGGGTGTTACCAGGTCGCCCGCAATTATTTAATTGCACCTATTATACCAGACGGGCCAAATGGACCCCTTCCTCTATTATGCAGAAAAGAGGCAACATTATTAAAATGTATTCAATTTTTGAAAAAGGCGCCATCCATTCTTCTGGTCTGGTATATTAGATGGTTACACTGTCTGTCGATAACCGATAATTATTTTGATGCCAACTTAATCGATAATCGAAAAGGTATCGAATAAACAACTTTTTGCTCTAAATTGTTACTTAATTAATTAATAAATAACAAAAATGCTGACCCGCGTATTCCGCCTGGTCCACGACAGGCGCCTGAGTGTGCCTGTCCTGCGCTGCTTCCACCACGAGTTCTCAAAACCGCCCCAACAGCCTGGAAAGAGCCAGGAAACTGAGGATAGTCCCGGCAAGAACTTGGTGGCCGGTGTGCAGGACAAGTACAAAATATTCCGGGATGAGGAGGCCACGGAGATTTTCGATGTGGAGGAGGCACGCCACCAGGAGCAGCAGCTTCCCGAGGACTCTGAACTTGAGCAGGATCACTACTATGGCCTGAATTTAAAGCGTAAGTTAGGTGTCTTTCAGGATGAACATGATTTTAAAATCCTTCTTCCAACTACAGGTGGCACTCGTGGCGTTTTCGATGTGGAGGATTTGGTGGAGCTGCTCCGCAAGGAGAATGTGGACGACATATTCGTCTGCTATGTGCCGGAGAACCTGAAATATGTGGACCACCTCGTGGTCTGCAGTGGACGCAGTTATCGGCACATGCTGACCACGGCTGAGTTTGTGCGTCGCATGTTCAAGATCAAGCGGAACAGAGGCGACATTCTGCCCCGCATCGAGGGCGACAAGAGTCGGGATTGGATGGCCATGGATTTAGGTAGGTCTAGTTGAAAGTTCAGGCTGATAGACCCCTGATAGATCATATCAGTAGATCCCATTTTAAACCTTCACTACCCTTTTAGGCAACATTGCCCTGCATATATTTTCACCGAGCGCTCGCGAGGAATACGATCTGGAGTCGCTGTGGGCCATTGGCTCCGAGTACGATCGCGAGAGCCAAAAGCCGCATAATCCCTATGGCGATATATTCATGGCTCAAACTCCTCTCACCGTTTCGGGTAATTCGAAACTGGAGACGTGAAATTCTTTAGTTCCTCTAGTTTAATACACTTACAATCGATCACTAACCCACAAAAGACCCTGTTTTGTTATGGAATCTATTCAGACTGGTTTGCTAAGTACATTTTATGTTCCTCTTGAAAAAGATAGAAATAGAGATTCCCAAACACATTTTAAAGTTCGACAATGTATGATGTTTTGAGCATATTTGTCTAAGATAAAGTCTGGCGATTCGCAATTTTACTTATGATCTGCCATCCGTTTTTAAAAGTATGCTGCATTTCTTATGCGGGAAGAAAAAATGTGCCACACAAAAGTACGCTATGTTAGGGTCAGGAAAAGAAATAAAGGAAGAAACAAGTTATAAAATTTAAGCATAATTAATTCCTTCGTGAAAAACAATTGATTCTTAATTTCTAACTGGAATATTAGAAATTTTAGTCAAAGATCTAACAGGATTGATTCTGTTAAATCTTAATATGGTGCCACTTAATCTTGGTGCCACTGTTACCATTAACCACATGGTATATAAAAGCTGATCCATAAAATATTTCAGTTCCCAATCGAATTTTCCAGTCATTTAAAGAACACGGCCATTTAACTCATATATAAATATATCCTGTGGCGTTTTTTAACGACTGTTTGCTCAAAATATAAATGTGCCCACTCAATGAGGTTCGATTCATTGTGTTTTTATAGTCATCGAGCGAGGTGTGAATATGATTATAAAGCCGATGATGCTTGTTTGCCCCGAATTGATTTGTGTGTTTGCACCGGCTAGCTACTGAATGAAATTTCGAAATTCGGGGAGGCGGGGAAAGTGGGGTCCCAGAAGGAGATCCTCCTGGCATTTTTGGGATCCATTTGGTTACCATTTGTTCGCAGGCCATCAGCGCGAGTTGGGCGTCGGAATTTACTACTTTGCGTCACTAGGAGATCGAACTTAATAATTCAAAAATACGCGTTCGGAGATAAGTAATTTGTGTTTATGAAAACAAACAATGGCAGACGAACAGCCGGACGGACGGACACCAATTGGCCGACACATGATAGGCGTAAAATTTTATGAAATTGTTGAAAATCTGTTGGTTTTAATACAATTCTTCGACGTCAATCAGGAACGATGGAGGAGGATGGATGAAATGGGGGCTGGGTTTTCAATGGCCTACCACTTGAACATGTGATATGGTGAGGATTTTTCCGCTGGGGATTTTGCCTGTTCATAATCAGCCCATAATCGCTGAATCGATGGGTTGAAAAACAAATCCCTGGCTGGACTCCCTCTCAAATGGGTCAGAGGTGAGCGAGAGCGAGTGCTGATTTTACAACTCATCACCTGTGCATGTCGGGGGTTAAAACGGAATATGGAATCGATTAAATATGCTTTAATGACCTGACAGGGGTCAGCAGTTGTTGAATACTGCCCTCATCAGTTTGGCTACATAAAGAGAAATCTGATCATTAATTGGAAATCGGAAGGGAACTTAAAATACTTGATTAGCTGAAAGGCTTGTGATATAATTTATAACTTGAAATATATTGAAATATGAATTTAAACAAATGAAATTATAAAAATAAATTGATTAGCTTAAACAAAAGTAAATATTATTAAATATTATATTATTTAGGACAAACGAGGAAATTATATAATAATTTAAACGAAGTTCTTATCGATTTATTACTAGAAATCAAAGCAAAAAATACACTTGGGCATAAAATTCCTTTTCTTGCGATCAACCCTAATGTTTATCCATCAAATCTGTTCGAAAAATGCTAACTTATCCAGCCATTTGATCACAACATAAGGTGGGAAATGGCGAGTTTATTCAAACATGAAAAGGGAACCACCGGACTATAACTCTTCCCAAGTGTCGATTCTAGAGCTATAGATTGCCATGGATTATATGTGGGGGCGTTAGGCGAAAACAAGGCGCAGTTCCCGTTAAATACAAATAAATAAACTAGACCAAAGACGCAATCTCCCCATGAGAGACCTCAAGTTCCCAGTCAATCAACCAGGTCATCGGGAGATTCTGCAGCTGAATTCTTCGTAGAGCAGTGATGACCACCCACTGATCTCAACGATCAGTTGAGCGATCCAAGTGACGTCACTGAAATCCCACAGACCACAAGACCAGATAAATAATGCTCCACCCCGAAAATAATAAATAAATATATGGGATCGGTGACGTTAGCGCCGCCACGTCATCAGTAGCGTCGTGTGCCCACGAGAACTTTGATTATATATATTTGGAACCTCTGAAACACCCCGATCTTCCCATATTTCCTCTGCCAGGCAACAGAATACGCACTCATTCTATTTTCAGAGGATTGCACGAGAGTTTATTTCAATCGCCGGCCAGGTAAACAAACAACAACGCCAAAACCACCGCCATCCCCATAAGACTTGGGATCACTTAATAATGTTCTATACTTGATGCCGTGACGAAGAGGGTCTTCCATGGACGGGGACTGTAATCGAGTGGGTGGATGGGTTGAGTTGGTTAAATGGGTGGTTTCCTCCAAATGGGCACTGAGTGATTGGCAATTTATTACAAAACAATTCGGCTTTCTGTTGAAATAATATCTCAAATCAACTTTCTGCAGAACTGGTGGTGGAATTATGGGGATCTTTCCATTGATGATAAGTTCCTTGAACTCATTTTATACGAGTTAATTAATGGATCTATCAGGTAAATTATGATTAAGGCAATGTTTGATCGAGTTCTGAGAACTTCTTCCGCTTGGTGCTTTTTATTCTTTGGATTTGTATATAGGCTTCATTTCGGTTATTTAGGGTTTCGAAAGTGATTATCCAATGCTTTTAGATTTTAGGTGATTTTTCTTAATTTTTTGAAACCACACGTTTTTAATGGAATAAGATGATTTTACTATTAACTTGATTACTTACGGTATATCACTCTCTGTATGGAATTTTATAGGGAAACCAAATTATAATAATTTAAAAAGCGACATGCAAAAGTTTTCTAAAGTATAAATAATGGAAAGAATTTGGAAAAATATGGTATAGTACGGTAAGATCTATTTGACATTAGAATTTTGAATGTTCTAGGCTTTTTTCTTATATTGCCTTATAATTCAAGTTATAGTTTGTTATATTAGTTTATATATTTAATTTAATGTAAAATAATACAAGTTTCCGAAAAGCGTACGATTTTATTTACCATATCTCAAGAACTACGATTATAGTTTATGGGATCTCCATGACCCAACTTTTTCTGGGGAAACTAATCTCGTTTCTTGTGCCGCAGCACGTGTCCTGGCATTCTGTTCCAGGATATGTGTAACCCCTGCACTTGGCCCTTCTGCTGGATTCAGAGTCCTCCCCCCGCCCAGGATTTTCCGCTTTTCCGGGCTGTGCGTGCAGTTGAGCCTAATCCGCGGGTTAGTTTCCGACCTGAAAGGCAACCCCTGTTGCTGCCCAGGGAATCCCCCGTCCCATGGCTGAACCCAACATCCAGTCACCATGATGGGGCAGATTTTGAGTTTCCTAGCTGGACAAACAAATTAATAGCGGCGAGTACGAGGGCTGGGCCTTTGGGACGCGCCCCTTTTCGGCTAAAGACCCCCGCCCCCCTTTTTCCATTTTCCTCGGCCATCGCCGCCCCTGTGGTCATAATACGCGTAATTTTCCCTCCTTTGTGAGGATGTGGATGTCCTTGGCTGCTGCTTCCACATAATGACTTTTGATTAGTGCGCCATTAAGCGTTCTCTTGAATTCGAATTCGAACGACTGTTTATCCTGCTGCTCTCGTACATCTGTTGGATTTTTTCCTTTGGCATCTTGGAGTCGCAGGGGTTTGGCCGTGACCCTTGGCAGGATGTCTGCGTTGCCATAAGAACTTGTTAAATGGATCAGGGTAAATCACTTTGGTAATTCGTTTTGCATTCAATTCCAATTGAAATTCAGCGAGAGAGCGGGTACATTTCCTCCAATTAAATTGTTTCGCCTCACTTTTAACTCAATTGCGTTTAGGGAGTTCGTTTCCCTGGGATTGTTTACGGCTTTTCAGGGCTCATTCTTTGCATAATTTGATTGCCTGTCAGTTGCTGCTTAGAAAAGTCAAAGAGCAAGTAAAGTATCCCACTTTTAACCCATAAATTAGGCAAGTTTTTCAATAAACTGCACAAGTTGCGCATACGACGCGTGTTTCCTCAAGAGGAAAGTGGGTGGCAGGTGGGTGGCGAAGCCAACAAGGTGCAGCAAATATTGCCACATCAATTGCGGCTGCCCCGCCCACCTAACCACACACACATATGTACATATGCCGCCCCCCACAGGCACATCAATTTCAAAGTGCATACACTGAGAAAATATGATCTTCAGTTATCAAAAGATGACAAATTATGATACTCTTTATTAGTTGAGTTAGTAATAGTTACTTCAGAAAACACCTGAGATTTGATATCTCCTTTAAAGTTGTCTAAAAGTATGCAATGAAATATCAGTATTTTGGCCGAAACAAGAAAAGTAATGGTCCAAAAATGGAATGTCATACCTTGTTGAACTCGTAACAAAATTTCCAATAAATTCGCATTCACACCTAAAAAATTTTATTTTTGAACCATTTTCACAAAAATAGATGATACTACCCCTTGTAAAAAAAGTGAAAATTTGAAATTTTTTTTAATTTTTAGAATCAGCCAGAAAATAACTGCAATTAATTATCGAGCTTGTTAGCTGTCCAAAACAGTGCGCCTTTTAGATTTTGGACCATTTTTGAACAAGTTACAGCAAAAACGGTCAAAGAAAAAAATCGGGTTTTCGCAAAAAAACGAAGATCCTTTTTTTCCACCCAAAAAAAATCAGTATTTTGGCCGAAACAAGAAAAGTAATGGTCCAAAAATGGAATGTCATACCTTGTTGAACTCGTAACAAAATTTCCAATAAATTCGCATTCACACCTAAAAAATTTTATTTTTGACCCATTTTCACAAAAACAGATGATACTACCCCTTGTAAAAAAAGTGAAAATTTGAAATTTTTTTAGTTTTTAGAATCAGCCAGAAAATAACTGCAATTAATTATCGAGCTTGTTAGCTGTCCAAAACAGTGCGCCTTTTAGATTTTGGACCATTTTTGAACAAGTTACAGCAAAAACGGTCAAAGAAAAAAATCGGGTTTTCGCAAAAAAACGAAGATCCTTTTTTCCACCCAAAAAAAATCAGTATTTTGGCCGAAACAAGAAAAGTAATGGTCCAAAAATGGAATGTCGTACCTTGTTGAACTCGTAACAAAATTTCCAATAAATTCGCATTCACACCTAAAAATTTTTATTTTTGATCCATTTTCACAAAAATTAAATGGTGCATACTTTTGTACACGTTTTAATGAATTTCATTACTTTAATAATGATTTCTTAGACACCATCCTATGAATT